ACGTTTGAGCCTCACTATGAACCGACAGAAGACATAGATCTAGATGAACATTTTAAGCATCTTCCTGTTAGTTGTTTGGGATTGCTTCCTCGTTCTATTCGTATTCGATTGCTGTATCTGTTACCAGCAGTAGATGTAGCTAAGTTAGAGGGTACTCCAGTTACTATTGGTATATCAATGGATGAGATATGGGAGTACATATTTAATGAGAGACTACCACTGTACGATAAGAAAAAGATAGAGAGACAGGGTATTGGGATTATTGATACAGTAGAGGAACTAATGAAGAAAGGAATGGAATTTGTCACTTGGAAAGATGCTTATTTTAATGCTGTATTCTTCTTCTCTCAAGTGTCTAACATGTTAAGATATGAGAACGAAGATTGTGAATGCGTCTATCGTCATTTCATACCAGACCTTTATTATGGCATGGGCACATTTAACAGTGATCCAGCTAATACCAATATCTACCAATGCTTCAATACAGACTCCACTTACAGTATTCATCGTGTAGCTCGTTGTACACACAGATGTCCTCGTCTCACTCCAGACAGGCATGCACGTATGTATCCAAGTCCTGCTGATGCTCCAAGACGTGAGTGTGAATTTTACATGTCACTATGGGATGCTGTCAGAGTAATGGCTGATTGTAATGTTTCCTTGAAGCATCTTTATATAACGCATTATCATTTCAAGAACATTAATTTGAAGAGCACATATTTCCTTAATCATTTTATAAAGTTGCTGACAACGGTTGAGGCAATCACGGTTCATGACTATAAGAAAATGATGCGCAAATCTATAAAGAAGGTATTTGATATCATATTTGTACAAAATAAGTGTTCCATCAAATTCATCTCATTATATGGATCAGAGTTTGACATTGCATTCCCGTATCTATTAGATGCATCGCAGCATAGTCTGAAGCAGCTTGAACTGAATGTTATACTTGATGGGGATAATTCAGATATAGCATATAAAAAGAAATCTTCGTCAAAGCATCAAAGTTCATCTTCCCAGATTCAAAAATATCTTCCTATATGTCCAAATGAATCTATATCTCATTCAATAATTGAGATATTACAGCATCATCAGGACCTGGAAAAGCTGTTGTTTTTTATGCAGTACAGTTATGTTGAGTTACATGACAGTCAGCTTACTCGTTGTATTGCTGATTTACTTTTAAGACCCAACTTTAAAGAATTGGCTTTTGAAACTCGCTGGAGTGCTCGTTTAGTTTCTTTTGATGTTTTTCTAAGATTGTTTTGGAATTTTTTCTCTTCGCCTAATCCAGTTACCTTGAGTATATGTCTTGAGTGTCCTGATTTCCCACCACTCACTGATCCACTCATCGTCAATCACGAGCAAGAATCCAACAAGTCACTGAATCTAAGTCAGTGTACTCTCTCTCCTCATTTTTCCTCTCTTCTTCCTCGTCATTTAGTTCTTAGTTCTTTCAAAATGATGTATTGTCCATTGGACCTTTTATCTTCATTTGCAAGTCTGGAGTCCATTAAAGTTAAAAGTTTTTCATTAGAACATGGACATTTCGCCAAAGATACCTCATCTGCTGTATCTTCATTGTTTCGTATTGTCAGTGCTCAGGAATGGAATATCATTATGGATGTATCTGATGATTTCATTGACTTGTTCACTAGCCTCATATCTGAAAAAGCTCATCTCTTACACCATTTTGGTTTAACAAATTGGCGCATTTCTACTCCAAGTCTTCTCTTCATGATTCAAAGTATCTTCTCCTCTCTCTCACCAGCTGGTGTCCCTCACTTTGAACTTACTTTTAATTATCGTTTACTCGATGATGAAATTGTTAAAGCTTTATATGACTTATGGGAGAAGCATTGTAAAGCAGTTAAAGTAAAGAAAATCAATGTACTGGATAGGAGAGCATTTGGTAAGCCATCGTATATGAGTGTTCTTTTGGAAATGGCTGTTGAAGTTTACGTAGAAATTAATAGATAATTTTATTATAGTTACAACAGTCATTAAACTATTTAAAATCTTTTATTAGAATTTAGTTTTAAGCTAGTTAAATTATGTTTTATTTATGGAAATGTTAGTGCCACAGTCATTGTAAGGGATTGTACACACTACACAATAGCCAATGCAAGTCTGGCTGCCCTATGGGTTCAATGCATCAAGGCCCAGAAAACCATGATTAATGCAAATCAATGGGTTCAGAAAATGCAAACTGATTAGTTCTAAGTGAATTTATCCGTGGGAGTAATGATAGTGAGAAAGGGCGTGTCTGTCTAGATTCAATCCCACCACAAAAATGACAGATAGTTTAGATTCAGAAGAGGAAATCTCAGATGTATACCTCGACGAAGACTCCCCTATAAGTTCAGAGAACGCTGATACTACTGATTCTGAGGATGAGTTCACACATTACTGGGAAGGACTGAAGAGAGGAGTAATGTCCCACCCAGCACCTCTTCAGTGACAGTGTCTATTGTATATCATAGGACACATCAAGTTTGAGCCTCCTTATAGGCCTACAGATGACATAGATCAAGATGAACATTTTAAGTATCTTCCTGTTAGTTGTTTGGGATTGCTTCCTCGTTCTATTCGTATTCGATTGCTGTGTCTGTTACCAGCAGTAGATGTGGCTAAGTTAGAGGGTACTCCAGTTACTATTGGTATATCAATGGATGAGATATGGGAGTACATATTTAATGAGAGACTACCACTGCACGATAAGAAAAAGATAGAGACACAGGGTATTGGGACTATTGATACAGTAGAGGAGCTAATGAAGAAGGGAATAGAATCCGTCACTGGAAAGATGCTT